ATTTATTCTTCGTTTTATTTTCACTTTTATTGATTTATTTTTGTCATCTGGCCCTCTCACTACTCCATTCTAAACACACTCATATTTCAAATAAATATAAACGTGGACTCACAGGAAGTTGTGCACAAACTGAAGGAACCGGATCATCTGTTCATGTTGCTGCTGCTGTGAACATCAAACACAAACTGGGAGCTACAGAGAAGCTATCAGTATTTGATGACCCTAACCCATATACTGTGTCTAAAGACTAATTAAATCTACTGATTTGAAGCTTATAATTTCAGTTTTGATCATTATCATCTTGTTTTTGTTGTTGTTGTTTGGTGCCTGAAGTAATTTGGAATAAAAGGAGGAATTGTCATCAGCTAACGCTAGCAGTAGCTTACTAGCTAGGTTAGCTAGACGTTAGCTGTGATGCTAACTGCTCTGCTCTAAACGCTGGAGTTCATTGTCCACGTTCTGCTAAAACTGCAAATAAAGTGCATTAAAACTGGTAAACATTACAAAATTGAGCTTTACTTACTGAATATACTGGACACCAGAATCCTGTGTTAGTCCAATAATCACAGTGAAATGAAAAAAAGCAGCAAACAAACAGAGAAACTGAAACTTGACACTGAAAAAATAAATTAATAAAAAATTAAGTAATCCAAAATGTAAAAAACTGATATTTAAAAAAAATATATATATATATTCAAAATGGTCAAAACATATTTCAAAAGTTTAATAAAAAGCATAAAAATACGTTTAAACCCCAAATTTATAATAAAATAAATATATATGAAAATTCAAAACATATTTTGAGTTTCTAAAAATTGCAAAACATCAAAACCATGTTTTTAAATAATCCAATATATCGAAAATATTTGAACGTTTATCAAAAATTACCAAAAATGTCAAGAATAAATAAACCTATATGTTGTGTTTTAAAATCTCATTTTATTACCCATTGTGTCTAATTTCCATCTTTAAAAGTCTTCTGATGAACGTAACGGAGTAGAAAGAACAATATTCCCTTCTGACATGTGGTGGAGTGAAAGAGGAAAGTAGCAAAACACGGAAGTACTCGAGTAAAGCACCTCAGAACTTATGCACAGTACTTGAGTAAATGTACTTTCCAGCAGTGTTTGTATCCCACTGAATGCTGCTTGATGAAGGAGACCGACTGTCTGAATCCAGCAGGTGGAGACATTTCCTCCCAATAGAGCCTGAAAACAGAAACAGATCCAAGCAGCAGAAACCTTTCATCACTTTTATACTCGTAGAAACTAAAGTCTGACGGGCAGATGAGAAGCTGCATCGCTGTGTTTGTCTGCAG